TTAACCAGACCTCCCCAAGGAAAGAAATACCTGCTCAACCATAAAAATCTATTTTTCTTCTTTTGACGTCAGCCATGTAACTCTTTAGAAGATAACATTCCTTTCTCAGTCCTGTGAGAGGTCACGATGACCCACCACTGGCCTTGTACGTGCAGACATCTTTGGTGGACTTTATGAGACACAGCAATATATCATTTCCCTTAAAGATAGCAACTGGTACAGAACAGACTGGCCAGATGACCGGGGGAGATACCGGGCCACACCTAACAGAAGTTCTTAGCTTAAATGCTTGCTCGTGACCTTACTAACGTCCTTAGCTATATGACGTGCATCCCGCCTATTTTACAAGACGATTGTTTCTTGCACTCCCACATGTGTGATCGACCCTCAGATAACATTAATGATGATTAGGAGACGTGAAATGATTGATCTAATATACAGTTCTATAAGATCAGTGATTGTAATAGTGTAACTCTAGATGTAGGAAGAAGTACAGACAGGGACCCGTTTCCTGGGACCATAACAGACTAGTAGGACAGGGGGTCCGGAGGCTTTGGGTGACTGCTAATAGGGCCTAGTCCAGTAACAGCACCTTGCGTGACCCGTCACGGAAATCCTCGTCTGACTCGGGAATGAGCACTCCTAGCGCCATGGAACAAACTGGTCACGCAATGCCTCCCGAAGCTTGGTTGAAATGAAGACGGAAAGGGAGGGATTGTAAAGTAAAGAATGTTGCCCACCATCCAGTTCTACAAGAATGAAGTCATCAGCCACCACAGTCGCTGACCTACAACACACCCTAAAAGAAGTCCAGGACAAAGGGCAGGATGAGGCACTCTGGGAAAACTGGCACAACTGTGGCCCTCAGATCGTTTTTCAGGAGAAAATGTTATGAACCCAGTTTCCTGCATCTTCCCATTCTTAGAAAAGCACTAAAACCGTTAAAAACATCTTCTACAAGACGTGTGCTCGACTGCACGTACCCCGTTATCAGGATCACGTATTTGCTGGTCTGCCCCCTTCCCTCTTTGGAATTGTCCTCAGAGCTTTCTGAAACGCTTGGAGTCTCCCCGGTTACAAAAACAGGCTGTAATGCCGAGATTTATAAGTAATATATGTCTGGTCTTTGCCCCCGCTCCCTGGCTGCCAGCTTCCTCCCAAGACCCTTGGAATTTCCTGAGCATCATTTATTATAATATTTGGAGTTTTGTCCTCGGTTCCTTAAACCGCTGAGAGCCATGAAGGTGAAATGGGTGTCTCGTTATTCATACTCACAGCAAGTCCCTTTGCAGCGCTACTGGGTTTCTGTTCATGAGGAAGTTTTGGGAAAAGACCCGAGGAAGGGGGCTGATGTCAGGAGAGCCAACCCTGAGCAGGGGAGTAGAGACGGGCTGGAGGTGGAATCCACAATCAGTGGCCAATGATTTAATCAATTGTTTTCTATAGTGAAGCCTCCGCAGACCCAGGAAGATGGGGTTTGGGCCGCTCCTGGGCCTGTGAACCCGGGGAGATCTGGGGGAGATCCCAGCCCCCTCCCCACACCTCGCCCTCTGCATCCCTCCCATCTGGCTGGGGGCCTTTGCACAAGCTGTCTGCGTGCCCTGGAAATGCTGTCTCCTCTGTGGGGCCTCTCTGACAGCCTCGTTTAAGCCCCCTCCAACCTCTGTTACCCTTCCCCACCCCACGTTTACAAGGGAGTCCAGTGCATCTCACGCTTTTATTTTATTCAGGTGCCCCCATCCTCAGCTGCAGCCCCAAGGCACTTCCAAGCTCATCTTGTCCCTCCCTTGGAGCACTACAGGGATGCCCACTGCTCTCTGAAAGAAGCCCCAGCTCCCCAGTCTCACTTGCAAAGCGCAGCGGGGAAGCTGTCCTCCCAGGAAGGTTCCTGCTCACCACCACCGCCCCCCTCACCTGCCCATGGGGGGTCCTCCTCCCCTGGGCCACTTCTGGGCCTCTCCAGCACCAACGCGTGGTGGGGCCCCAGGTAGGGATGTCAGATCTAGCAAATGAAAATGTATGTTAAAAAAATAAAAGAATTAGGGGCTTCCCTGGTGGCTCAGTGGTTGAGAGTCCGCCTGCCGATGCAGGGGACATGGGTTCGTGCCCCGGTCCGGGAAGATCCCACATGCCGCGGAGTGGCTGGGCCCGTGAGCCATGGCCGCTGGGCCTGCGCTTCCGGAGCCTGTGCTCCGCAACGGGAGAGACCACGGCAGTGAGAGGCCCGCGTACCGCAAAAATAAAAAATAATAAAAATTAAAAAAAAATAAAATAAACGAATTATATCCCTACATGCCTGTTAGGCCCACATCCAAAACACTGACACCAACAAATGCTGGCGAGAACGTGGAGCAACAGAATCCACATTGCTGCTGGTGGGGACGCAAAACGGCTCAGCCACTCTGCAAGACAAGCTTGGTGGATTCTTACAAAACTACACACGCTCTGACCATAAGATCCAGGCATCACGCTCCTTGGTACTTACCCAAAGGAGCTGGAACCTTACGTCCACGTAAAAACCTGCACCTGGAGGTTTACAGCAGCTGATTCATAATTGCCAAAATGTGGAAGCAACCAAGATGCTCGTCGGTGGGTGAGCGGATACGTTTCTGCGGTGCCTCAGACAGTGGAATATTATTCAGAGCTAAAGAGAAAGGAGCTATCAAGCCACGAAAAGACACAGAGGAAACATAAGTGCATACGACCAAGGGGAAGGAGCCAGTCTGAAAAGGCCACATACTGTATGATCCTAACCACAGGACGTTCTGGAAAAGGCAAAACCATGGAGACAGTCAAATGACCTATGGTGGCCAGGGGCTAGGAGGAGGGGCGAAAAGGAGCACAGACGGGTTTCAGGCAGTGCAGCCACTCTGCAGGACATACTGTAATGGTGGGCACAGGTCATTACACATCCGTCACAACCTGTAGAACGTGCAACGCCAAGAGTGAACCTTAATGTGAACTAAGGCCTTCAGCTAATATTAATGTCTAGGCATCGGTCCATCAGTTGTAACAACTGTATCACATGAGTGCAAGTGTTAATAATATGGGAGAATGGGGGGCAGGAGAGACAGAGTATAGGGAGTCCTTCGTGCCTCCTCAGCAATTTTTCTGTACGCCGAAAATCATTCTTAAAAGAGTCTATTGAAAAACAAATAACAAAAAATGTTGTTTATCTGAGCTTCAGATTTAACTGGGCCTCCTCTCCTTAGTTGACAAACTTAGCCGCGTGAAGCCATGAAAAGCAGTGAGGGGAGAGAGGTGATGACACAGGGGAAGAGGAAGAGAGAAGGGCCACACGTGGGCTCCCCAGGCTGGGGGGGTTGAGACCCACCTTACACTCACAGGTCCCAGGCCTTGAGGGGAGGAACCCAGTTGGCAGGTAACAGAAAAGCACGGGCTGAGTGTTGGGGCCCGGCACCATTGAGACCCCATCCCTGCCCCATCCTCCTCGAGGACCTCAGCTCTCTCAGTCCCACTGATCAGAGCAACGCCCACTGAAATCCAGCGCTGCGCCTCACGCGGGCCCCTCCCATCAGGCCCGCACGGCTCTGAGCTCCGGTCCCGGCCACACCTCTGAGCAGCACCATGACCTTTGGGTTGGAATATGGCTGCTGCATTAAAGCTTTACAGAAAGAAGAAGAAAGCCTCCTGGCCTCCAAGTCCGGGGACCCCCATTTTCCAGCTCCAGCCATCTCCCCACCTCCTTGGGCCCTGCCAAGGTCACCTGTCAGCCTCACGGGGCCCTGGCACAGCAGGCCCTGCAGCTCAGGCCCCCTCCAGCATGGTGTGTCCCCCTGCAAACGAGCCTGGACCCCCTCCATCCCACAAGGGCCAGACATTTCTCTGCCCTCCCCTGGTCCTCCCCAGCAGGCCGTTGTCCCCCCCAGTCACAGCTGACCCCGCCCCAGCTCCCGCTCCCCAATGTCAGTTTCTTCATCCTAGACGAATCCACTTAAGGTCTCCACCACCAAACACTCCAGTAAGGAGGGCGCTCCAGCCCCCTGCCCAGCACCCAGCGCCTCACAGGAGCGTGATGCCTGCCCCTCCTCAGGGTCTTCCTACTCATGCCTCCTTGCCGTTCCATCCCCACCCTGGAGGCCTAGACCTTCCCCTGCTTCCTGGGATTCCTTCTCTCCCTGCAGGCTGTGGAATGCCCTCCCTGCCCTGAAGAGCACTTAGGGTGGGGTGCTGTGGGGTGCACAGGGGAACCAGACAGTCTGGTTGGGGGAGGCTAGAAGCAGGGAGCAGAGGGGACCGGGGAAGAGCAGGGCCTGGGGACCGGCACCGGCAGGAGGGGGGCTGCGGCCCTCGCCTCCCCACAGGTCTGCCTGCTGTGTGTGTGTCTGCGGGGGTGGGGGGGGGCAGTGGGCCCCGGGTTTGGCCCTATGGAGGGGTCCCCCGTGAGGGCTGTGCTGTGGGGAGGCTGGAAGTGGGGTGCCCAGCAGAGGCCTGAAGCAGCCAGCAGCCTCACGGAGGAGGCGTGGCTGGGGCACCTGGTTGGGGGGGTCTCAGGGGACGGGGAGAGGGGCCCAGGGCAGGGCCCAGCTGGGCCGGCCAGAAGGACTGGGATGGGGGCCAGGGAGGGAGGGAGGAGACCACCTCCGCCAGGTGGAGAGAGGGCCCTCCGACACACCCTCCCCTCCCCAACTCCCCCAGCCTCCCACCTTGGCCAGCAGCTGGAAGGGTGGAAGGCTCTGGGCGGCATGACCTGCAGTTATCCTGGGCACGGGCGGGTGCGTGGGGGCCATGCGTGGTGGTCCACTGGCGTGCTGGGCCCAGGGTGGAGGGGGGACATGTGGGACTGGGGTGTGCTGCCGGGCATGAGCGGGGCGTGAGGGGTGGGGAGTGGATACTGGGTGTGCGGAGCTTCGGGAGTCAGGTGAGGCTCAGGTGAGCGGGTCGGTGGGGCTGGTGGGGGGGCCGCCAGGTGCGCCCCAGGTGCGTGGGCTGCGCGCGTCCTCCCGGGCGCCAGGAGGCGCTGCGGCGGCGTGGGTCCGGGCCGGGCGCGCCCCTCCTTCCGCCCGCGGCCCCGGAAGCCGGCGATGGCGCGGAATGTGCTGTGAGTGGGGGTCCCGGGGTGCGGGGTCGGGGGCGTGGCCGCGCCCGGGACTTTGCTGCGGGGGCCGGGCCGGGCCGCGGGGACGTGACTCAGAGACCCGCGCGGAACGCGCGGCGTCGAGGCGCCCGTGGGGGCGGGGCGGGGCGGGCTTGGGGCGGGGGTGGTCGTTCCGGAGCCGGAGGGGCCCGGGCCGCCCCTTGGGGGTCGGGCCTGACGCTTGGCGCGGGCGGGTGGGAGAGAAGGTTGGCTGGTCTGGGCTCCGCCGACCTCGGGCTTCGGTCCCCCCCCGCCACCCCGGCCGACTGCTCCCCCACCCCCCGCAGCTCCCCAGGGGACCCAGACTGCGCCCCTTGCAGTGCTCGCCGCTGGTCACCAGGGGGAAGGTGTGAGCCTGGGTGGCCGCCCGCCGGCCTGGACCCCCACGAGGGCAGAGCGAGGCTCGGTCCTGGACGAGCAGCCCTGCGCTTCCAGAACCTGCCCCTCCCGCCTCGCCGGCACAGCGGAGGAGGCTGTGCCACAGGGTTCTAATGGGGCAGCTGCCACGTGGGACTGGGTCGCCAGGAGACCCCGGGAGACGTTACCTAGCGCTCAGCCCAGCAGTCGTTCTAATGCGGGTGCCCCGGCCCGTGCCAGGGTGCCTGAGCCCTGCCCCCTCAGAGTGCCACACCCTGGACCTCGGCTCCTGACCCCCTCACGCTCCCCAGATTTGTGAGGCCCAGAGGCAGCATGAGATTTGGCTTCACTGAGCCCCCTTCCCTGGTGCTGGGTGCTCCCCAAGATCAGGGGCCACGTGCTGTGCTGCAGATTGGTCACCAGGGACCCTAGATGGCATCCTCAGCCCCTGCTCCCACCCTCCACCAAGACCCGTCCCCTGGGCTCCCAGTAGACCCCTGGCCCCGCCTTGCAGCCCCTGTGTACCTTGGGCCCCCTCCTCACCCCAGCCCCGAGGCCCAGTTGGCAGTGTGGCCCTTCTGGCCCACCAGACCCCACCGGGGGCATGGGTCCAGCTGGCAGGGGCAGTTGGGTGGGAGCCGCAGGTGGTAGCTTCCTGCACCTTCTAGATGCCTCTGCTCAGTTGGGGGGTTTTGGAGGTGGGGCAGGCAGGCGGTCAGCTTGTAGCTGGTGATCTGCACACACCATCTCTCCCCAGCCACTTATCTTCTGATCTTCACGCTTGTCAAGGATGAGCTGGTGTTCCCAGCACAGGGGGTGTGGAGGTGGCCCCATCCCTTTCCCCGCCGCGGGGGTGGGGCCAGTGCAGAATAAGCTGGTTCTGACCGATCCCACCTCACCTGAGCTGAAGGGAGCTAGAGGGCGTGCCCTGTGTGGGGCCCACTCCTGGAGGGTGACAGCCATGCGGGGGCCGCGTGCCTTTGGGACCGGCACTTTGAACAAACACATGACTCTGAGCCTGTTTACGGGGTGGGGTGGGCATGTCCTCTGGCCTCTGTTCATGAATCATTCACCGGTCCTTTCCAAAGGCTGACCTTGGGGGTCAACAGGCCACACCGCCCCGGGGCCTGGGGACTGGCTGCCCACGCCGGGTGAGCAAAGGGGGTGGCCTGTGGGTGACTGCCCCCTTGGCTCCCCGGCCCCATGGGCGTGATGACCTGTGGACCCTGCTGGGGTGTCCCGGGAGCCTCGTGTTCTGAGCGTTTGACAGGACCCCTCTCCCCCTTGCAGGTACCCTCTGTACCAGCTGGGCAACCCCCAGCTCCGGGTCTTCCGCACCAACTTCTTCATCCAGTTGGTGCGGCCCGGCATGGCCCAGCCCGAGGACACCGTGCAGTTCCGGATCCCCATGGAGTAAGCCCCCCCCTCCCCAACCCCAGAGGAATTCAGGCTGGGGAGTGCCCCGAGGGGCCCACAGCCCTAGAGGTGCCGCCGAACCCCACTCACAAGCAAGGTTCTTCCTGCCGTGAAAATTATGCAGGCAGCTCCACACTGCCCGAGGTCTGGTGTGTGCAGGGCCCCGGGGGTGTTGTGCTCCCCGCCGCCCCCTGGGAAGCCTGGCCTGAGACCTGACTTCTCTTCTTGCCTTGGTCCTAGCTGCGCTTTCCAGGAGGCTGGGCTGTGACTCCTGCACCCGCTCACCATGGCTTCCAAAGCCTTCGTCCTCAAATGGGGCCTTCACGGAGGCCCCAGTTGCCGAAGGGACACAGCCTCCCCGTGTCCCATGCTGAAGTCTGAGCGGTTCCGGGGTTGGCTCGAGCTTCCGTGTGAGGCCCATGCAGGGTGAAGAGGCAATGGGACCTAGCCCACCATCCCCTTGACCGTTATTTCTGGGAAGCGCCTGCTGGGAGGGTGCTGCGGGCGGGGCAGCAGCTGCAGAGCGGGCGGCCGGGCGCTGCGGGCAGCTCCTGGCAGCCAGGGGGCACTCGCAGACCGTCCCGTCCCTCCCCTTGAAGCTGGGCCCCCAGGGAGTGTGGCCAGTGGGAGGGAGAAGAGAACTGGGTCCTGGAGGCTGGTCCCCCGTCACCCCCTCACTGCTGCGTCCGGATGCAAGTGTGCTGGGTGGGGACCAGGGGCTGCATCTCCGGAGTCAGCGGGGCCCGGCCTCAGCCCTGGCCTCCCCCGAGCCCGCTCCCGCCCGGGGCCTGCGGTCGGCAGCTCAGCCCGTCGGGCGGGCTGCCTTGTACCTCGGCCCTGTTCAGACTTCCTTTCTTTCTCCTTTGCCCCAGGATGACCAGAGTGGACCTCAGGAATTACCTCGAGCGCATTTACAATGTGCCCGTGGCTGCTGTGCGGACAAGGGTGCAGCACGGTGGGTGCCCGGGGGGGGGCTGCCCCCTCTGGTGTGGGCTCCTGCCCGCGTCGCTGGCCTGGTCCCCCCTCGCGGCCACTCTGCCACGTGGTCCTTTGCACATGAGGAAACTGAGGGGGGACCTCAGGGGGGAGGTGGCCTCCCAGCGCTAGAACTTGGGTGGCCCGGCGCTGCCGGCTGCTCAGAGCAGGGCCCCACACTCAACCCACCCACCCGCTCCCCCGCCTGCCCCTGGGTCGGTCAGCAAAGCGCTGTTTTATTCCCCTGGGCTTTCTCGTTCCTTCCTGTTGACCCCTGCCCCCCAGCCCCCGGTTGCCCAGTTGTAAATATGGCGGCCCTCCGTCGAGGGGAGGCCAGACAGCGAGAGCCTCTGTGCTGACAGGGCAGGAAGCGTTGCTTGAGTCATTTCAGGCACGTTTGGGTTCTCGCCGAGCGGAGGCTGGCGGTGGTGGCGCCTGCCTGTGCGAGCCCGGCCTAGTGGCCCAGGGCGTGGCGCCCGCGGCCTGTAGCCCAAGGTGCCTGCGTGTTTACCTGTTTCTAGAGTGGGTTCCCGGATTAGTGGGACTGAAAGCTTCATGCTGGGAGTGAAGGTTTTTGTCTTCCCCCCGCTTCCGACAGGTTCCAACAGGAGGAGGGATTACAGGAACGTCAGGATAAAGAAACCAGATTACAAGGTGGCGCACGTGCAGCTGGTGAGTGCTCGCCCCGACCGCGGCCTGGAGCGGGGGGTGGGCGTGATCGTGGGGCCCCAGGCTGGCACCCAGTTCTAATCCACATGGAGCCCCGGGAGGAGCTGGGGTTCAAAGCACAGCTCAGAGGTGGGAGGGGATGGGTGTCGGGGAACTTCTCGGGGGCCAGCCCTGGGCGTACAGTGGGCGGGTGTGGGCCCGCTGGGCTTGAGGGTGGGTTCAGACAGAAGCCAGGGCTGGCAAGCATCAGAGCAAGGAAGTCGTTAATGCCATGGGGGTGGAGGTTCCTGCTGGGGCCTCAGTGTCAAGCCAGACCACTTGGGGTGTGCTGGGGTCCTGGCTGACCCCCTCTCCTCTGGACTGGACTGCGGGGTGCGGCACACTCTCCCAGGTTCTCTTCGCTGTGTCCCCTGCCTAGCGAGGGGCTCCGGAAAGAGGGTTCAGCACCCCATCTGAGCCTTTGCTGACCGAAACCCAGAGCTGGCTGGAGGAAGACGCGTTTTCCAAGCCCCTTTCCGGGCTCTTCCTTTCCAGCCTGAGCTGCCCCAAGACGTACTTTCCCAGATATGCTCTTGACTCAGAATGGACAGCCTTGGCCACCCAGCACCAAGGCCCCGTGGGCTGCAGGCAGGATTCCTCTGCCGGGGCAGGTGACCTTGGACCTGCCCACAGAGTCTGTTAACTGCCCTGCGTTTGAAACCCTGGGCGGCGGGGGAGGGGGTGGGGGTCTTCCAGTTTCTTTAGTTTCCTCGTAAACAGCCTGGGTCGGAGTGGGGAGCCCGCGGGCCCCGGGGCCACTAGATGGCAGTAGCGCTATTATGAAAACACCCTCTGGCCCCAGGGCCTGTTTCGGGCCTTAGGAGGTAGTTTGTTGAAAGACCACGTTAGCATGGCAGCTTTGCTGAAAAACGGTCACAGTTGCTCTAAACAGGGGCCCCCGTAATTATTTGGCCTAATATTTGCCGTGCATAAAATCAGCCAGTCCAGGCAGGGAGAGTGGCCGTTGGCCTCATAAAGGCGCCTGTGTCCTCTGTGTTCAGTCGGGCCATCTGTCTTTGTCACGGCACGCCGGTCGACACCCCATATGTCGGCATTCGCCACGAGGCCCTTCAGCGAGAGCTATAGTTACAAGTGGCTTTTGAGTCATCCGAGCCCTTGCGTTTCCCGGGCCCCACCTCGCTCTGGAAGCTGAGCTGCGCGGCCTGGGATCTGGTATCTGCAGCTGCCACCCGGCCTCCTTTCTTCCCCTGTGAAATCAGGGCAGCACAAGTGGGAGCACAGGGCGTCCCCGCCGGGCACGCTTCCCTCCGTTGCAAAATTAAATTTGTAACGGATCCCCCCCACCTCCACCCCGCCCGGCTCCGGCAGATCTGTGCCTGGAAACCGGCCGGGGGGTTGGACACTCGCCCCCTGAAGGGGTCCCCTCTCTGTCCTCCGTCTACGGAGACGTCCTCCCCGTGTGTCCCTTGGGGCCTCGTTTCTGGGCTTCTCATCACCGAGCTGATCGCAGAGCGCACAGAGGTCCATCAGAAAGACAAGTGAAATTTCCGGATTTGTTCAGAGTTGGCTGCTTCGGCAAAGCCGGTCCCCCGTAGTGGGGGTCCCGGGTTTCCTCCCACGAGCTGATAACCGTCTCTTTGGCCCAGAGTCGGGGAGCTAGCGAACCTGGGTCACCCCACAGCGAGGAGCCTCGGCCCCCAGGCTGACGCTGACGCCTGCTGGTGACGGAGCGCCTGCTCCCCCGACCCCGCCTGCCCCTCACCATCCCAGGCCGGCGTCTTCGCTTTTCACTGCGACACTTTCCTCCCCTCCTGCTCTTTTCCGCTGATCAGCTTTGGAAGGATGGAGGGTTTTATTTCTGAAAGTACAAGGTGAATTTCTCCAGGAAGGGAACCCCCGGGAGCCGCAGTCGGCCCCCACACCCGGCGCTTGTCTCGGTGAGAAACGAGGAATTTCTCCCGGCGGCGCCCTCTGTTTTTTCCCAAGCTATTGCGGATTGCCATCTTTGTATTTATATCTTAAAATGTCATTTTGGGTTTCCCCCACCTCAGAAAACTAGCAGAATCACCTCGGTATATTAAACATAAATCCCCCATTCTGGGCAATCAGCCCTGCATGTAAACTATTGCCCTTTGGTATTTTAAAGAAGAAGAAAGAAAGTTTTGCAGTGTGTAAGCGAATCCTCCTGCAGGCTGGCTACCGAGCACTCGGTTGCTGCCTTTCATCACTCGGGGCTGCACTCCGCGCCATGTGAACCTCCCGTTCTCAGGGCCGAGGATGTGGGCTGTTTCAGATCACGCTTGGCCGCCTGCCCGAATCCAGATTTCTTTACAAAACAAGGGTCTCCAAGAACCAAGCGCACTTCACTGATTTTACTTATTAAAATTTTCCAGATCCGGTCCTTCTCTGCCTGTCTGGAGGTAGACGGCGCAGCCCTGGGAGTGTTGGCCCGGCTCGCCCCCCCCCGCCCCCCCATCCTTGGAGCTGCTTTGCGATGTGTAGCGCGTGGAGGTGGCCCCGCACCTCACGTTGCTTGGGGTCCCCTCCTCCCTCCAGCCCACTGACGGGCCACGTGCTGGGGGTCCGGGCTGGGACTTGGCCGGCACTCACGTGTTCTGAACTTCTAGTGAAAGACGCAAAACCAGTCAATTTGCGAAGCCGGCCTTGATTTATGGCCTGCTCGCATGTACGTTTCTTTGTACGTTATATGCGTTTTATTTGCCAAGCTCTGAGCCGGGAGGAGGGTTCGTCTTTAATGTGGGTAAAGGCCTGTAGGTATTTTGGGTGGAAGACGTTCCAGGGAGGCAGCAGACACTATCTGTGCCTTGTTTCCTCGCCCCTGCCCACAGTATGGCCGGGCGACTCCTGCCGGGAGTGGGTGCTCTGCTGGGCTCCCCCGGATGGGGACACGCTGCCTGAAGAGCTGGCCTCGATGAGGGGCCTTGTCGCAGCAATGGTTTCCACCGCGGAGGGCTGGGGCCCAGCCTGCGTCTGTCCTGCAGGCGACGGGCGGGCGGGTTCCATCTGGCCACGGACCTTCCCACGGGGCTCCTGGCCTGTCCCGCCCGCGCTGCAGGCTGAGCCCGTGTCTTTTCTCCCCAGGCGCACGGACAGACCTTCACGTTCCCAGATCTGTTTCCTGAGAAAAAGAGGGCTGAAGGCAGTTCTGTGACTGAGGACCTGCAGGACCAGGTCCTGGAAGACCAGCGGCGGAGGCAGAGCTGCGACCCCCGGCTCGGGGGCGTCCCTGGCTGGTTCGGCCTGTGACGAGCGGCTGACAGCTCAGCTCAAATAAAAGTGCTGCTTGTGGAGACCGGCCCAGGCCCCCCACCCTGTGCTCTGTGCTCTGGGCTGTGCCCCTAGGCTGAGAGCAGGGGCCCGGCCTCGGGTGTGCCCGCGTGTCTCGTCCTGGTCCCATGGGCCCAAGGCGAGCCAGGCAGGCCCGGAACCCTGTCCAGTTGGGGGGGAGACCCACTTCCAGAGCACCCAGGAAGTCATCCTGAGCTGCTCTGGCTAAGAGCTTGCTTTGGGCGGTGTGTGGGGAAGATCAGAGTGAGTGCTGAGGGCAGGAGTCGGGGTGGCCGCTGGGCGAGAGCCTGTCCGGGCTGGGGGTCCAGGGTGGCCCAGTCCAGTGTGGTCTTGAGCAGGGAGGGTGGGGGATCCAGAGAGGGTGGGGTTTAGGGGACTAGTCCAGAGCAAGGCCGCGTCTGGAAAGATTGCCAGCCAAAGGCTTGCGTGTGGGAAACGGAGCGCCATCAGGGACGACCAGCACCCGGGGACCCGTGGGGTGGGGTAGAGGTGGCGCTGGTCCCGGGGGGTCTGGGAGCCCGGTTCCCTGCATCTCCGGTTCCTGAGATGCACCTACAGCTTGATTTCTCTCTGAATCACGCTCTGCAGCTAAAAGCCTAACCCTGAGCGCTCCCGGGAGCCAGCGCCCCGCGGCCGCCCCGGGCAGGGGGGCGGTGAGGCCGCCCCGGGCTGGCTGGGCCCGTCTCTGTGTGTCCGCGGGCCTGGAGGTCTGGGGAGCGAGCAAGAAAGCACCGTGGGTGCCTCGGGGAGTCGGGCCGCGTTGCCCCGGGGGTGGGACACATGCCAGATGCCACGAGGGCTCAGGGACCACCCTCCTCCGCGGCCTCTCAGCTCCCCGCTCTGGAGCTTGGCTCTCCCCTCCGCGGGGGGCGGGGGGGACAGTGGGGAGCCGGCTTGGCCGGCCCCCTCCACCCCGAGGGACACGGGGGGCGTCACGTGGGCCTTTGAAGCTCCCCTCCGGCTGGAGGGTGAAGGTCCGGGCAAACTCCACCCTTCAGCGTTGATTTAAAGTGATGGGGAAGGTCAGGAAGGAGGCTGGAGAACGGAGTCAATGGTATTTTCCTGAGAGAAATAATTCATGGGGCCCTGAGGACCCCGACTCAAGGCCAGGGGAGGAATCCCATCCTTCATCCGCTGCACTTCCAGAGCCGGCCGCCCGCACGCCCCCGGACGCAGCCCCCAGGCCCTTCCCACACGGCGGCCCTGTGCTGTCCTCGCTGTGCCCTCCGCATCCCCCAGGGCCTGGCATCTGCCGGTCACGGCCACGGAGGCGGGCCGTGACGTCCTGTGTCCTCGGCACCCCCAGGGCTGGTAGATGGAGTGGCCACAGCAGCGCCGAGTGGGGGTGGGACACGGCGTCCGGCACAGAGCCGAGTGTGGGGGGGCAGGGGTGGAGTTGCCTTGCAGGGCGCTGAGCAACAGGAAACGGGCCTTCAGCTGGGGGGCTGCTTGCCCCCCCCCCCAGGCACGGAGCCTTGAGAAGGTGCTGTTTGACACCCCTGCCCCTCCCTGGCTGGAGGCTGGAGGCTTGGCGGGGAGACAGCCGGTGCCTCCTCGGGAGGTCTCTCTGCCGCAGGTCGGTGGGCCCCGAGATCGTCTTCTCCCAGCCTCGGTCTCCCCCTTCCTTGCCGGCTGGGAGATGGTGGTCAAGACTTCCGGTCCCAGCATCCTCTTCCCCTCTGCTCCTCCACACGTGGGGACCAGAGGAGGGTCTGCTGGGGGCCCCCTAGGCTGTGTGTCATCCTCCCCACTCATGCCTTTGCTGGACAGCCTCACGTGGGACTGGAAACAGGGAGGGCCCGACCCAGTGGACTTGGGGGCTCCTTTCCCGTGGGGACAGCCCTGCCAGGAGCACCCCGGGCCAGCGCCTGGGGGAAAGTAAAGGGACAAAGGAAGAGGACTAGAGCCCACAACACCGCCCCCTGTGCCCCCCCCCACTTCTTTACGGCCATTCCTCGCCTTGCGGGGGCTGTGAGACCCCGGTTACAGCAGGCAGAGCCCACGAGGGGAGGTGCTGGGGGCTGGGCCAGCCGCCTTCTCAGTCCCCTGTGGCTGCCACGGGCCCTGCTTGGAGCCAGCAGGCCTGTGCTGATGAGTTATAGTTGCAGCAGTCCCGGCCTGTGGCCCACGGGACGCATCCCAGACCCCCCAGCAGCTCCAGGTGAGGCCCGGCCGCCAGGGCTGCCAGGATGGAGCGGAAGCCCATCTGGCCGCAGCCCCTCCGCCAGCGTCTGGTTTTCCTCTTCGAGGGCCAGAGTCTCCCCGGGGCCGCATCACGCTGTCATCCCAGCTCCACGTGCATCGTTTAAGTAACCGACTGCAGGTGACCCACCGCCTGGCTGGGCCCCTCGGCCGGGGGTAGGGGGGCCCGCTCACTTCTGCAGCTGGGACCCCCAGTTGAGTCGGGGGCTCCATCCTCTGGCCTCTGGGCGGCCTCAGCAGGGGACCCGGGCCCAGGGACACAGCCGGTCATCTGTGCTGCCCCTCCCCACCCCCCACCCAGGCATTAAAACACAAAGGAAACTAAAGAAATCAGTCCCCTTGAGGGTGACTCTGGAAGGGGTCCCCTCCCACCTCCCGACTTCCATGTAATTCTGAACTCCATTCGTGAATGAACAAATGCATGAGTGTGGTGGACCCCCCCCCCCCCCCCCCGTTCAGCACGTCAGCTCAGCCACTCGGGAGAGCCCCGCCTTGTCCGCGGGTTTGAGAGTCGGGCAGGGCCTGGGGTGGGGTCCAGGTGGGCCCCCAGCCACTATTCTCACTGAAGCTGGAGGCTGCGGCTGCCGCCCTGCTTCCTGGCTGTAAAGACGCCCCCGCCGCCCGTTCACAGCACAAAGGGCAGAAGAGCTATAGCTGCTCAAGGGCTGTTCCTTCTGTTCTCAAACAGCTTTATTGGGATATGGTTCACATCCGCCATGGAAAGTGTGACATGGGATGTCTTAGCGTTCAGGCAGGTGTGCACCTATCGCTGTGATCAGTTTGAACACGTTCTCGTGCTACCCACAGGGCAGCCCCGCGCCCCCCACCCCAGCCCCGCCGACACAAGCCTGTGCTTCCGTCCGTCTCTGCGGATCTGCCTGTTCTGCACACTTCATGGACGTGGAGCCTGTGCTGGCTTCTGTCACTCAGCATCACGCCCTCGGGCCCGTGCTGCAGCCCGCATCAGGGTTTCCTTCCATGGCGTGTATGGGCCGCGGTCTGTGTATCTGTTTGTCCGCGGATGGCGCTTGGCATGTGTGTTATCATGGCTCGGGGATGTCGGGTGCTTAGCCTGGAATGTTTCACGGGAGGCCGGGGCTGCCTCACCACCGACAAGGGTGTTTATCAGTCCCTGAAAGTCCCCGAAGGCTGTGGAGAGATGGGCCACGTCCGCAAACTCCCCGGCTGCTGGATAGGGCCTGGACGGGGATGTCAAACAGCCTGCCCCCTTGGGGCCCTGGGAGCTCCACTGGGGTCAGGGTTGGGGTCAGGGGCTGGCACGGGGAGGGGGTTTCCAGACAGCCCCAGGACCCCCATCCCTGTGCCTCTCTCCTTCCCTAAATGCCGCACCTCGGGTCCAAAAGATACTCGGCTCCGGCCCTCGGAGACCCTCCTTTCCCCGGGCACGGGGGCTGGCACACTCGTGCACTGGTCGCCAAGTCGCCCTGCGTGTGGGTGCCTGTCCCATCCTCGTAACCGACACTGAGTCCCGTCAGGACAAAGGTTTCCACCTCCTCTCAGAGCTGAGCTGGCTCTCTCTGCATGTCCCACCGTGCGCAGGGGCACCCCACCCCAGGGAAACCCCTCTATTTCTGCCAGCGCCCCACACCTGCCTCCCCGGCCTGGCCCCCGGGCGCTTGGCTTCTTGGGAGAAAGGGAAAGGTGCCCCGGAGACCTGGGTCTCCTTCCCAGGTTCCCATCCGCCCTGCCTGGAGGGAGCTGCACCCCACACGGCTTGGCCCAGACACCGCAAGATGGACGCAGGGACACCCGGGCCACCGGCCTGGGAAGCAGCGGCCAGGACGGCTCCCCACGCGGCCCGCCAGGCCGACCTGTTCAGCATCTGTGTCGCTCCTTCCTGACTGAGATCATCCCCAGCACCAATTCCCCCAGATCACTTCGTTATTTCTTTGTAAATAGGGCTTTTCCTAGTCAAAATAATCACCATGTTTTGTGCTGCTCCCACATCTGGCTTTGATTGGCCCCCACCTCCTCGGGTGGACCTGGACCCCTGACGCTGTGACGGAGGGAAGGCAGCCCAGCCCGCTTTCCTCCCTGCGCGAGGTCGGCCGGGCCTGGAGGACCCCGGTTCTGTCCCTGCACGGCTGCACTCCGGCCTGGGCCTGGCTCCGCCG